CCTAATCCAACAAAGTTGTAATATGCTTGGAAGATCAACTGTGATGCCAATATCTCTTACATCTTCCGCCATTTGTATTTCATGCATTATAATCTGCTCTACTTATTAAATGGTGTATGATTAATCCTTGGATTTGTGGTTGATTTTTTATCCTCTGCAGCTTTATATTATTGTTCCTCATATTACATTCTACTAGGTAGATATTGTAGATCTTATTTTACTATTTTGCCAATAGGTTCTATCAAGACTATAGCAGGATAAGTAGATGTCTATAATGGCATTGTGGTATTTGGATCTCAAATATACTGATCTCAAGGTTCTGATATCAATTGATGCAGAGAAAAGGAGAATGAAAATGAATAAATCAAGAAATAAAAGATGAAATAATATACCCTATGTCAAGGTATGCAAAGCAGTCCACCTCGAAAGATGTTCTCACAAGACCCAAAATAAACTCTTTTTTTCTTCTCCTTTTTACTTCGACAATTACCTATTTATAAAAGGAGAACCTTAAAATCTAACTTATCCCCTAAGAAACACTGTGTTGAGGATTGATGTCTTGTATTTAGAGGAAATAGATTTGTCAAGGTAGAGTCAATATGACATACAAAGGTATTTCTGTAATTTGTACCATCTATCTGAGACTTGATATATATTGTTGCGATAGGGGGGTTATTAGAGTTAAGGGAAATACACTGATTTCTTTTGTAATAAGAGAGAATAGAGAGGCGTGAGGAAGAGAGCGATTGTAACCCTATTCTCCATTGCTAGTAAAAAAGCTCTCATCTCCCGTGGACGTAGGCACGTTACCGAACCACGTATATCTTTATGTTGTGGTTGGTTGTCTCTTTCTTTTATATTTCGTTTTTTCTTTTTTGTTTTCGTAGATTGCTTTTTCGTTTAAACACACTGATCAATACGAAATTCTAACCCTTCATCGTTAAAAGTTAACATTCTAAATTCTACTCCTCAAGTCTCTACAACACAACAAGACATACCACAATAAAAACAAAAACCCAAAATACCGCCAACCTAAAACTAGAAAATATTAAACTAAAAAACTTATAGCAACAACATGTTGTGTAAGGCAATATAAAACTCAGGTAGCCACCCATTGCTCATTTGCCCTTTTACTTGTAAGATATGACACTAGTTTTTGACATTGTTTGATGTAGAATGGAGAATTCTACCATCGGTTGACCAATTGTTCTCTCAATGGTCCTTCCCCTGTTTCTTAAAATTGCCAAAAAGAAAGAACGGAATTACCCAAAAACCAAAGATTGAACAACTGGGAACCAGCATTACAGGACTTCTTTAACATGAGCTCTGTTGTGGTTTGAGGAGTGACTCGAGACTATTCATAGAGGTGCATCCTTATGTGCTCAGGGCCAGTACAGTTAGAAAGCCTAAGACTTCTAATAGACAAAGAGCACTGGTAGTTTAAGGAGATTCATGTAATGATGCACATGGATCAAAGGGGACTAAGCAAGCCAATGAAATCTCTCACCCACTATTGATGAAAACAAGAACATCTCAATAGTCTATTCCAATCATGTTTATAGGAGAAAATTGCACAGCATGGGGAGCTGAGGGGGTCTCTAATTCTTACTTAATAATTACAAGCTTCTAAACTTTTGTAAACTCTCCTCAGACAAATACAATTGTGAAAAAGGTTATAGAAAACCAATAGCTAACTTAGATCGCCCATTCGGATTTTTGATCCGAATCACTAAACTGGTCATTAAAAACTTAACAGAATTAAAAAAAAAACAAAAAACAAACAAAAAACAAAAAACAAAAAAACAAAACAAAACAAAAAACTGGGGCCGGATCTGACCCGTTCTATCAGAGAACCGGTCAGTTCCCGATGTTTAGCGAGAATTGGTTCATCCCGACTATTCCTAATCCATTTCAACATTATTTTCAAAATTCCTTGTGAATTAATTTATTGGTTGATAAAAGTTATATGTTAACATTCACGAATAGGCAAAGGAACCCATCAGCAAATGCACACTTGCTCCCTTTAGCAAAAGCATACTTAGGACATGACTATTAGTTTTTGAACCTCAATTTTTTATAACTTTCTTGGGATAAGTTGTTCGACCACAAATTTTCAAGATGTTTTCTACTTTAAAAATAAAATAAAAAGTCACTATTGCACCCTAAGATTGCATGGCAAATCGCAATAGAAAATGAATATAAAAAATCCCAATTTTTTGGACTCCCAATCTAGGTACTCAAATTTAATTTTCTTTTCTTTGATGATTCATTTCATTTACTGATTCTTAGTTGAATCCCGAAATTCCAGGCTTGAGTAAAACCTGCTCATGTGGCTGTAGGTTTATGAGCACCGAAAATGAAAAACAGAAGTTAGGCTATCTTCTTTGGAAATGTATATAATAAGGTCATTTCTTTTTGCTATAAGGATATTATAGTTATTATTAACAGTTAGATGTGAAATCTAATGATTGAAAAATAGGTATACTGTCCAAAATAAATTTTTTTTTCAATGTTGTGCTACACTTCAATACGTAAATATCACATCCTATAACTTTTCTTGTACCAAAAATATATACTCTCTTAAAACACGATATCTTCTTTTTCTCTCTTCCAATTAAAAAAGAAAAAAGCGAACTCCCGTGTACAGTGGCATGGATTGGACATACGACAGAGAAATAACATCTAGTTTCTCTCCACAAAATGAGTGCGATTATCCCATAATTACCAAGTGATAAAAAAAGGGAATTTCAATTATCCAAGAATTTTTTTTAAAAAAGTAGGGTTTTCCGATTATCAGAGAATTACTCACCCTAACAAGATTATCGAATAAGAGGTATTTTGGTATATAGTATATCCTCATCTGGACTCAAGCCATCACACACTCTCTCTCTCTCTCTCTCTCTCTCTCTTTAAACAGTAAATTCACTTTATCTTTGAACAGTAAATTCACCTTTCTCCTCTCTTCCTTTTGGACCTGGTTGTTATGCGGCCAAGCTCACATATGTAGAATTGAAGGCTTCTTAATAAATCTATTTTTGAGATAGATTTTAAGAGTTAATTTTTAAAGATATGTAATCTCTAACATAAAGATCATGAACATAAATAAATAAATAAAATTTAAAAACTAGAAATGATAATTCTAATAAAAAAATATTTTGACCATTAGTTACCATAATTTTTAGATAGAACACCTACTTGCATCCATCTTTAAGATGGATGCTTTACACTTTCTGAAATGCATATGTAATTTTTAGATAGAACACTTACCTGCAAAAATCTATGCTTTACACTTTCTAGACCGCATATGTATAAATGCAATCCAGCCCACATGAAACAAATTTTCCTCCTTTTTTAACAAACTTTTTCTCTCTATCTCAAGAGTCCACATGTTAACCCTCCCAAACAACAAGAAAGAATTCTAATGAAAACTTAGAGAAATCAACATTAAGAGACAAAAAAAGAAATAGCCAAATAATTTTCTTTGGCACATTACCTTTTGCTTTAATAAAGGAAAAAAATTATGCACGTGCCGTCCTCTTTACATCCAAGGTTTTTGTTTTGGATAATTATACATCCAAGGTTCACCACCCAAATTTTGACCTTGGTTAACATGCCCATGAAAACAAATTTGCAAAAAAATAAAATAAAAGTTTCGAAGAAATAAATAATAGATGTCTATTTTGATGGACTCAGAGCTTTGGGGTTAGAAGAGCTCAAAATTAACTTTTTAAAAAAAATTAAAAAAATTTATATGATTTTTTATTAAGATTGTACGTAATGAGACCGTTTACCATAAAATACAAGGTGGTCATAATTACTTGTAATCATTTAATGTGAAATTTGATATTTTGGGTGTATAATAAAGTTCAAAAAAATTTCTTTCGAAATTTGAGCTTGGTCAATGAGATAGATGCAACACCCAATTTGACATCCAATGATCAAAATTAGTTGTGACTACTCTGTACGGAAAGTAAATGGTCCCATTCCATACTTTCCAATTTTTAAAACCGTCTCCAATTTGAGGTCAAATGAATCCTAATTAAATAGTATACCTATGAGTGGCCAAGACTGGGAGTATAAGTATTCTTCGTGATAAATTACATTTACGATGTTGACCATTATACCCTTTCAAGGCAACGGCTTTTATCCCAAGTTTGATCTATGAGGCCACTGATATCACATTCCAATAAGTGTAAAATAGTAATTTGCGCATGGAATATAGAAAAAAGAAAAATAAATAATAACAACGACGACAATTAGCCCATCCAAATTTGAAGGGCCAAAAAAATAAAAAATAGAAGGGTGTGCTTTTGCAAGGTCACAACTTTAAACAATCGAATTAAGTTGCATGTCCATGAGATGCAATTTCAATATTGGTAATTCGATGTGAAAATATTTTTTTAACTTTTATTATAAAACTTTACAATTCAAAAATAGTTCTAACCAATCATATCCATAAATGCATAAAAATCTTGAAAAATGACGGTCCACTTAATGTGTTACAAGTTGTGTTAT